TCTTGGTGAGAGTTAACATAGTGCTGCCTTTGGTTGCGGTACTGTCTTGACTGGCTAGATTTAGCAACAGACGAAGACTTTGCAAAGCAGGCCTTGGCAATGTGACCTTGCTTATCGCACTTATAACAAGTTGCTAACTTGAACTTGCACCGATGAGATGCATGGGGACCTTTGCATCGATGACATTTTTGATAATTATTACTAGATTTAGATCTAGGATTTGAACGAGCAGGCTGTTTAGCATAAGTTGGAATGCTCTGATGGGGTTGATGTTTATTGACTAACCTGCTGTTTACTGCATGGATCTCTGAAGGTGCTAAAGATCTCGCCGCATCTGATGACTGCTGGAATGACATTGCAAGTTGTATTGCTTTTTCCAATTTTAGATCTGACTCGAGCAGCAACTTTCTTTGAATATCAGGGCTGTTTACACCTGTCACAAACTTTTCACATAGTCTGTCAGACAGCGTGTCTCCGAATTCACAAAATTCACTTAAATGACGTAAAGCAGCAACATATTCTGTTATTGACTCGTTTGGTTGACGAGTCCTACTGTCAAATCTAGCTCTACATAAAAACTTTGATGGGGTAGGCGCATGGTGGTCTGTTAGCAATTTGCTCAGCTCGTTAAAGCTCTTGGTAGTTAGACTGGCTGGTGCGCATAAGTCTTTTAGTAGCCTAAATTGTTGAGGCCCTATGACTGTTAACAAAACAGCTCTCTTTTTGGCTTCTATCGTCACGTCGTTAGCTTCTAGGTAAAAGCTTAACCTCTCTAGGTAATCTTGAATGATTTCATCATTCGCATCAAATTGTTTTATTTGGCCATACAGCGCCATAATTCTAGAAATAATTAGCTAATAAGCTCTAGCAAACCTCTTTTTTGCGTAAGTAGGTGCTCTTTCTAGTAGATGTTTATCCTTCGTCGCCAGTTATAATAGATTGACGACAGAAGCCTGTTGTTGTTTATAACACATTTAATGGGTCTAACTACATCACGATGGAAACACACCGAGAGGGCGGAAGGAAGTATATAAGGGACATCACTCAAGATAACAATATTATAAATATAACTAATACAGAAGAGTGAGTTCCCTTGACCTCACAATTATTTCAATCTATTACAGCTATGAAAAGAATTTCGAAACGTTTTGAAACAATTAATTCACGCCTTAAATCAGTTTAATCTTGAAATTTTGTATATTATGTAATAGAATATGACAAATTATAATACTTTGATTACAAATGTAGTATACCAATCGGAGGTAAAGAGCTTCTAGCTGATTTAAATGTTGCAAAAAAGTATTTGGTCGTTATGTTATTCATTTCCCGCATATTAAAAAAAAAAAAAAGAACGAAGTTCAGCCCGAATATGCTTAGCTTCAAAAACATTTAAATACATCAAGAAAAAACTAAATACATATGCGCATACGCATACTTACAAGTGTATATGACATTTATATGTTTATTATATAGGCATATATATCAGCGCACTTTTTTTGTGACGGTACGCCGTACCTGCACCTTTTTCAGCATTTTTTAACGTTTATCATTACTTATTATATTATTATATTGTTAAAAAGATGTTTAGTATCATTGCAGTTGTGATTTAGCTTGCATCGAGGTGTGAACTGGTAGTTAAAAGTTAGACAATCCATCTCTGAGTACTGGCTCATATATATATATATATATATATATATATATATATATATATATATATATATATATATATATATATATATATATATATATATATATTATATATATATATATATATATATATATATATATACAATTGTGTGTCGAATTCTTTCGAGGGGGTGGGGTTGGTGACACCATTAGGCACCGCACCTAGCGATGCCACTGGCTAGAATCTATTTTGATTTATTTTGTTAATATCTCTTATTTAAAAAAAGAAGAAAATTACGTAATGGGGGGGGGGGGTTGAAATAAGGATGAAATATGAATTCTTTAAAGGGATATAGTCCGACCTTTAGTAATGAGGGGGATTTCTGCGTGGCGTCGATTTTTTGGGCAACGTTTCATCAAGAGCAGAACAAATAACAATATTAGTAGAAATAGAATAAAGAACTATTTATTTTCTATCAGCAACCTTCCACTGATTTTATTTTGCGTGGATAGACGTCCGAAAATGACATTACGCTGAAGGAAGTGAGGGGGGGGGGCGGAAAGAAATTGAACCTTCGATGTGTGAGGATTAAGAATGTTTGACCTCAAAGTTTTTCATTTAAGAAGTTAGTTTTTAAAATTAATATTAGCACTTTAAACGTAATTAAAAAAATTGGTCCCCAGACGTGCCAACATTTTCAGTGATAATCAAACAGTAGGGGAAAAATGCTTTAGAAATAAACTATTGTTTCAAACTGCTTGTTTTTTTTTTCTTTGATACTTGTGCAAGTGAAATTATTTTGCCCCCTCCTTTAATTACGCTATATAACTATCTATAGACCACAAGCATTCATAAACTATAACTTTTTGATGTACATGTACATAAATTATTAATTCTTTGGCTTTCTTTTCTTGTTTTGACCTGGCAGAGTTTATATCCTTTCTTGAAACTTCAAAGAGGCAAGTAAAGATTTTAGAAATTAGCCTAATAAAATATTATTTAGAATTTAGCTGTAAAATTAGACATAGATTCTAGATGTAGTTTCTAAAGATAGTAGCTTAGCTTATTTAAAAAAAAAAAAGTTGAAATTCCTGAGTAGAAAGGTTGAGATAAAAGTATTTCTTTTTTAAATGTTAGATAGATAGGCCTACTTGTTTCTGTTTTGATTTCTCAGAAATCTATATATATAGTATAGCATTATGATTTCATTTTAATATTACGAATTATTAGCTAAGTCGGATACATTATTACTGCTACCTGTTAAGATTAATGTAGTAACAGAATGGGGGAGGGTGGTTCAGACTTGTGGCCCTTAAAAACAAATAGTTGAAGAGGTTAAAATATTAAAGTGTATTTAGATGGCATTGCTTTTAAAGAGCAAAAAGTGACGAGAAACCTATCTATTGGTGTACGGTAAAAGTAGGCCAAAGTCGTATTCGGGGGGGGGGGGGGGGGGGGGGGGCGTGGGGACGACAATATTTTCCGGGGGGGGGGGGAGGGGCGGACACTGTCAAAAATATATGTTTTCTCTATAAATTCCATTTCTTTCTGGAGGGGGGGGGGGGGATCCCCTTGCCACGCCGTCCCATTACCTAAATTTGTGTGTTAGAGTTTATTAGTTATTTATGTATGGGGTATTGAGATGCCTGGAAGAAACACTGCTTCGTATTGTTATTGTAGTTTAAAAAAAAAAAAAAACTGTGTAACGTTATTTTTGGAAAGGTTCCGACTTTTCTGTGATTGTGTGATGGTGGCTAGAATAGCATGATGTCAATTTTTGTACGACATGTAAGGGGTCGTCCAAAAAATGACGTCACACTCGTAGGGAGGAGGGATGGTTCGTAATTTTGTGACGGCGTGTGATGAGGGGGGGGGGGGGGCTCAGATGGTGCGACGTCACATTTTTGCATTTTAAAAAAGCAATGTTAGAAAATGAATTTTAGCCGTTATATTGCGAAAACTGTTTTGATACATTGTAATAGAAATTAGCTAAAATACTCTATATTGACAGAGTTCAGTCAAGATTTAGGAAAAATATCGAATTTTTAAGAACAATTCAACTGCTATTTGGAGGGGGGATGTACGCTGAGGTATGACGTCATTTTAGGGGCGGGGTCTGGCTTTTTGTGACGAGGGGAGGTTAAAAATCGTCAAAAAGTGTGACGTCATTTATGGATGACCCCTAAGGAAAGGTTTACAGTGGCATAGCTTGTAATGGAGGGGGGGGGGGGGGAGTGCCGACCTTTATGGGGCGCAAAAAGGGGTAGTAAAACAAAATAACTTTTTTTATTTTACTATGCAATACACACTCAAAGTTTCGAAAATAAACGACTGTAAGGCTTGACTTACTAGTTTAACTTCTTTCTATCTTGATTGTGTGTAACAGTAAAAATTATACCCTAAATGAATCAGCGACCGTTAAAAAATCACTCACCAATATTTTTCAAGGGGGTTGGGGCGCTTTTCGCTAACATAAACCGGGTGGAATTACACCGCATTGGTGAGTTGATAAATTGTTAACACTTGACTAAAAAGAAGCCAGATATATTAACGCATAATGTATGATTTCTCCAGCTAGTGTTGTCAAAATTTTTTCGACTAGTAATGTGTAGTTAAATGTTGGGTTCCCTCAACTTCATAGTGAGGGATCAGAAACTTTACATGACTGCTGCATATTTCTTTGATCCAGTGGAGTAAAGAGAAATACCACGGATTCTTATCAGCTGTACCAGTAAAATAGCATACGGTCGTAACGGGTGGGGTTAGAAGGCGATTCCATTGCTCGTAATCCTAGGAGCTAAGCAAAATATAACCAGGCTTTCTATATTTAAAATTACACTATAAACATTTTTATTATAAAATAAGTGATTTTTACTGAAGAGATGGGGCGTTTGATTGCTTGTTTCATACAAATCCCCTAATTCTGCAATTCTTATCTAGTAAAGGTCACAAGTTCTACTTAACGAGCTATAGTACCAGAGGCGTAGCGAAGGGGGGCAGGGGGGTACATACGTCCCCGGGCGCCGACCTTAGGGGTGCCAAAATGGGTTGGAAAAACAAATTAAAATCTCATTTTAGGTGCAGTTTGCATTATAAATATAATAAATATATGGGGGGGGGGGTGCAAATGGAAAATTGATGGTTTGTTCCCGAGGGGGGCGCCAAATTGAAAGTTTGTCCCCGGGCGCCGGGAAGGGTCGCTACGCCTCTGTATAGTACTGAGGTACAAAGTCTGACCACTGCACAACAGGTCGACTAGTACTGCTGTATTACTATGTTTAACCTAACTAATAAACAAAACGTGTTATACACTATTTTCCAAAATGGTCATTACCACAAACTCTGACATATTTGTATTTCTATATTGACAGAAAATGTCCTATCCAATTGAAGAAAGTGGTGCTGTTGATATAGATGTTAATATAGATCAATATGATGATATAGGTAAGTTACAAGTAAGAATGTCTGGTTTCGTTATTGAAGATGTAGATGGGAGGTCTACTTTTAAGACACTTGATTGTTCGTCTGAGCTAAATCATCCACAGAAGATGTCTCTGGTCAGTTTCTCATGATCAAACTTTTTATTCGTCTCTGGTCAGTTTCTAATGATCAAACGTTTTATTCGTCTCTGGTCAGTTTCTCGTAATCAAACTTTTTATTCGTCTGTGGTCAGTTTCTAATGATCAAACTTTTTATTCGTCTCTGGTCAGTTTCTAATGATCAAACGTTTTATTCGTCTCTGGTCAGTTTCTAATGATCAAACGTTTTATTCGTCTCTGGTCAGTTTCTCGTAATCAAACTTTTTATTCGTCTGTGGTCAGTTTCTAATGATCAAACTTTTTATTCGTCTCTGGTCAGTTTCTAATGATCAAACGTTTTATTCGTCTCTGGTCAGTTTCTCATGATCAAACTTTTTATTCGTCTCTGGTCAGTTTCTAATGATCAAACTTTTTATTCGTCTCTGGTCAGTTTCTAATGATCAAACGTTTTATTCGTCTCTGGTCAGTTTCTCATGATCAAACTTTTTATTCGTCTGTGGTCAGTTTCTCATGATCAAACATTTTATTCGTCTCTGGTCAGTTTCTAATGATCAAACTTTTTATTCGTCTGTGGTCAGTTTCTAATGATCAAACATTTTATTCGTCTCTGGTCAGTTTCTAATAATCAAACTTTTTATTCGTCTCTGGTCAGTTTCTCGTAATCAAACTTTTTATTCGTCTGTGGTCAGTTTCTCGTAATCAAACTTTAGATTCGAGGTCTATGAGAGCCAGGTATTAAAAATATGAGGTCATCTTATACTGATGTTCAAGTGAATAAATATATAGTGATAAGTGGAACAACTATTTTACCCCTCAACAACATCATTTTTATTTCCTTTTTATGATTTTACTTGTCTAGAAAAATCCCAGACTTTTCCAATAACACACACTTTTTAAGTCATCATGTTGATTAGATGTAGGACGTGGTGGTGAGAAGTGGGATTACAAGGGAGAAGTGGGATTATAAGGGAGAAGTGGGGTGGTCAGGGAGAAGTGGGATTATAAGGGAGAAGTGGGATTATAAGGGAGAAGTGGGATTATAAGGGAGAAGTGGGATTATAAGGGAGAAGGGGGATTATAAGGGAGAAGGGGGATTATAAGGGAGAAGTGGGACGTTTTAGGAAGAGGAGACCAAAATAAAAGCTACATAACACATGAAATTCTTACATTTCAAAAATAGGCCTTTGAATTTATTTTGTAATTTGACTAAAGTCAACGGATGTTTATTACGAAAATTAACTTTAAAAAATAATTGTTTTTTTGTGGTCTCTAAGGTTTTGGGAGGTGGCAAAACACTTGTCTGTTATTGGCAACTACCATCTGGTATGCTGGGCTTTTCGCAGTTTCAGCTGTTAGACTGATGTTTCAGCTGTCAGACTGTGAATTATGACAGAGCATTTGGTCACATATAAAACCTGAATCTTGCTGTGGCACAAAGATCATTGCATGAAGACAGTTGGGTCCAATCGTAAGGTTGTCAACTTGTTTGTTCCACGCCACCGTAGCGACAAAACATTGCCGTGTAGGTGTGGAAAGCCTCAAACTTTTTCCTTTCAATTCCCTCAGAACAACCTTAAAACGAACTCTTTGGTCTGCAGGGGCTTTGCTGCTTTTTCAAATGTGCTTGCGACCCACGCTTTCTTTACAATAGTGCTCATGTAAAAAAATATGCTTGTAGAATATAAATAAATATTGGTACCTTATAAAACTATTTCCTGCGTTAGGCCGGCCAGAGATAGAGGAAATAGAAATACAAGTCATGCTAATGCTTTGTATAAATATTACTTTTCTTTTGAAACAACAAAAAAAAAATATCTGATACTCAGCGTCATTTTGTGTTTTGTTTCTGTAAAGGTGACTTGTTTTAGGTAATTGTAACTCACTTTGTAAAGGTTATAAAACGTCGTTTGTCTGAATTCTGATGATCCACGCTAATTGATATTTAAACTTTATAAATTATGTCTTGCATCTTCGGGGGGCATTCATAGATAGAAGACGCCTTCTAAAATATCTAAATAATTTGAGTGCTACCATTCTGTTCTGCAGATGATATTGATATCGTACGTTTACAATATTACCGAAGGCGTGTGTTGGTGGATGACTCGGCCTCAAATGAAGAGGAGGGTTGCGATCCACAAACTTTAAACACGAAGATGAAGGTAACATTTCCTCTAGGGATCCTTTTGTTTCATTACTTTTTATATAAAACTGTGAAGTAGACAAGAGAGACACATTTCTATTCTATTTAGTGGCAATTTAAAATCCACCATATTTAGACAATCTGGAGAGATTAACAATTGAAGTTGACATTTTTTAAAATCCAACTCGTTTAAGATATTAACTTGTAATTCTAGAATATAAATAAGCATATCACAAAGGGTTAAAATTTTTTCTCCATATCTACTTTCAGAACTGGCAGGATGTAAGCCTATCAACGAAAGTTGGCAATATTTTGCCATTATTAAGCTATCCTGACCAAGAGCTTGTAAGTTTTTACTTTTCATGTACACGGGAGAATAAAGGAACTATTGTAATCGTTTAGAAGAAAAAAATAGAATCGAGATTTTCTCAAATCTTAAATTTTTTAATACCTTCCTGAGTCGAAAAAGCCTATTTAAAAAAAAATATCTGTATGTTTGTGAGTTATGTAAACACGATGCCTTGAGTACCGTTTCAGTTAAATGGATGAAATTTCATATTATATAAAAGTGATTAAATAATATTCGTAGGTTTATACCAATTTTTGATCGATTTCCGGTAACCTGAAGTGGTACTCTTTATATTTCCTGTTTCTAAAAAACATGCAACTTGAAGTGAACAAAACTTCACATATAGGTATTAATTCAAATACGTAAGTTTCTTAAAACTTTCCAGCAGTTACGTGTAAACGGAAATTGAACTTTACAACTTGAATAATGTTTCAGTTAGGTAGATGAAATTTATTTTATTAGTATTAGAACTTCTTTCAACTTTTGAGCCATTTCCGGTAGCCGGAAGGGGTATTTTTTTTATCTACTTCAGTGTAAATATGGTACTTTGAGTACCGTTTAGTTAGGTAGACGAAATTTCACATATAAGTACTAAATCCTATTATTGTTGAATCGATTTTAGATTTTTTCTTAAAAATAAAGAATTAAAAAAAAATTAACCATTCATCAAAGAACTAGTTCTGTAATTGCTGCAAAAACAATGTCTTTAATAAAACTCTTATAAAATATTACATAGTTCCTCGAATTCCCAACAAAACAATAATTAGATCTATTTTAAAAATATTTCAGAGCGCTTACATGACAAGTTATAAACGAATAGTGTTTATCAACTTGAACGATATAATGCTATTTGAGTTCTTGAAGCCGGGAGATCTACCGCTTCATACATTCGTTTTTGGGTGGATACAAGCTTGCCCGGGATTTTCGTACGAGTACGAATTTTTTTATAAGAGGTAAGCTTCATTATTTTTTTAAATATCATTGGCTTCATTATGCTTTTAAATATTATTGGCTTCATTATGTTTTAAATATCATTAGCTTCATTGTGTTTTTAAATAACAATGGCTTCATTATGTTTTTAAATATCATTGGCTTAATTATGCTTTTGATTACCATTGGAAATATTAATATTTGGTATTTCTATGTGTGAGGGATGGTGGGGGCGGGGGTTTGAGGGTTGTGGCTTTAAATTACCTTGGCGTGATATCGTTCGGCTGTGGAAATTCAAAGAAAAAAAACCGGGAGTGATCTCCCCTAAACTTTCTCGAATATTTTTATATAAAATAACAGGGGATGGGAACTCGGGCTATAGACATGATTTTTAATCCATTTTAAATACTTAAAGTTTTAAAAATAGAATAAAATCTCGTAGACAAATTAATTGCACACCAAGTGAACGCGAAATAAAAAAAGCGCATAATAGTGCGCAATATTATTAGTACTTTTAAAATTTACATTAGTTTTTTGAGAAATCGGAAGTAGCGTAAATTACTACTTCCGGTCAACGGAAATTACTCAAAATTTAACAGAAGGTAGAGAATTAGATCTTTTACTTACATGTGAAATTTCATTTATCTATCTGAAATAGTACTCAAGTTATAGGCTTTTGAAAAATTCAAAGTAGAAACAGTACCACTTCCGGTTATCGGAAATCGCTCAAAAGTTGATACGGATCTACGATTTTGATATAATACTAATATATGAAATTTCATCAACCTAGCTGTAACGGTACTCAAGTTATCGTGTTTACACACGGACACACACACAGACACACAGACACACACACAGACATACGGACAAGATTGCAAAATTATGTTTTTCCGTATCAGTGAGGTGTAAAACGTCGAGATTTGTAAAAATCTCGATTTTTTTTTTTGCACGATTACAATACTTTCTCTATACTACGTATATACGAGAAAGTAAAAAACACCTAAGAAATTCATGTAATGTCCTCAGTAAGCAGCCTACCGTTTCTATATGTAGACTACATCTTAGATGGAAGTTGTTTTGCGCTTAGTCCTGCCTAAGGCTGGTACCATTCACACGTGACATCAAATAATTTCTTGTTTTTACGTTTTGATTTGCAACAGGAAAATTCAATCCAATGACAATTTATCTTTACTAATTAAATTAAAAGGGTAACCCGGGCAAAGCAGTCGAATAAAAAAAAGAGGGAGGGAGGGGGTAAAATTTTTTTTTTATCCATTCATAGTTTCGCTGTCTGTCTGACAAGAACGCTCTGTCTGACAAGAACGCTCTGTCTGACAAGAACGCTCTAGAGAAAACACAAGGAAATTAAAAACATGCATAGTATTTCGAAAAACGAAGTATGACGTCGACACATTTAGCACAGAGTAGAAAATAATCTCAAACCGGAGAGTAAACATTGAATAAAAAGGACATTTTGTCTTATCTAAGTGGTTTGCGTGAAGAGTTTCTTTCATACAATTCTTCGGGTAGGGGCGAAGCCCCACCCCCGCGTAAGAACGTCTGAGCCCCCCCCCCCCCCCTCCCTAACTCAAAAGAAATTTCTTCATCGATACTCTATAATAAAAATTACCGCCTAATTAATGTGTCTAATCTAAAAAGTGGTTTTCTTGCAATTTCTTTAATGCAATTCTTCGGGTAGTGGCTAAGCGCGACACCAGTGTTTCTTTCAGACTTTTTCCTCCCCGGAGAGGGGTGGGGGTACTTGAAATTTTCGGGGGCGGGGGTAGAATTTTCTGGGAGGGGGCGGACACTGGAAAAAGTATATAATTATATTTCGTTGAATGGGACGGTAGACATGTTTTGGGGGTGGGTGGGGGGTGGGGGGGCGGTGTGTGTGTGTGGGGGGGGTGGTGTGTGGGGGTGGGGGGTGGGGGTGGTGGGGTGGGGGTGGTGGGTGGTGTGTGGGGGGTGGTGTGTGGGGGGGGGGTGGGTTGGTTTTAGTTTAGAGAAAAGAGACAGCACTATCAGCCTAGCGCCCGTTGTACCCTTCCTCAACGGGCCATTTTTCTCGTATATTATGTTTTTATTATCTGCGTCATAATTCATAACAATTGTTATAAGTGCTGAGTTATAGGACCAGGAGATACACATTTAATGCGATCTATAACATCGCTCGCCTGTCAAACTGCTTGTATTTCTAAGCAATTTTCCTCATAGAAATGAATTGAAATGCCATAAATCCGTAACAGCCCTTCAAAAAGCCATCCAGGTTGTTTATGCTATAATTTAAAAAAAATGTGTAATGATAAATATTGTATAAAATCATAAAAGAATTAAATAAACTACATGGTAGTTTTAAAAAGTTTATTTACCTGAAAACCGACCAACTTGAGTTTACCTTGGACACTGGCTGAGGTCGAATAAAACGTATAGAGGGGATAGGCGGCGTAGCTTTGCTTTGTTCACTTACATAACTCTCTCGGTCAGTTTGATTCACTTACTCGTTACACTGTTAAGACTACATTTTATCCATAAACGTAAAAGCAATTAGCTTTAGTTCACCGAATTTACATCAGTGTTTCTTCCAGACTTTTTTCTCCGGGAGGGGGGGGGGGGGGGGGAGAGAAGAGCACGTGAAATTGTCGGAGCCCCCCCCCCCCCCCCCCCCCCCCGAAGAGATGCCTGGAAGAAACTCTGATTTACATAATTGAATTTTCTCTTTACTCGTCTTTACCATTTATTTACACTGCTTTCTCCCATTGCACCGCCAGGCCGTAAAAACCCTAATCTATCTGTTGTTGTGTTGTTTCTTTCTGCCATTGAGAATGTTTCAGGGAAATGATTTAGACAAGTGTCATAAAACAGAACAGTGCTGATGAACGACCAGATGAAACTGTTTTTTTTCAGGTTGTGAAATGCGCCGTTTCCTCGTATCTCAAAATTTTGTTCGCAATTTAAAACTTGGTGTATATGGGCGAGGGTGGTGCGAGGGGTGCGGACCGCACCGGGTGACACCATTTAGGGCGGGTGACATCAAGGCAAAAAATAGCAAAATATATAGAGAAAAATGATAATTCCACTTAATCAAGTGATTAATTCGAGTGTTAAATAGTCTTTTAAGAGGTGTAAATCGAAAGTTTGAGGGGGGGGGGGGGTGCAAATCGAAAATAAATTGAAAGTTTGTCTCCGGGAAGGGTTGCTACGCCTCTGGGGGGGGGGGGGTGACACCATTAAGTGCCGCACCTGGTGACACCCGACCTCGCTACGCCACTGATATATATATATATATATATATATATATATATATATATATATATATATATATATATATATATATATATATATATATATATATATATATATATATATATATATATAATTTTTTAAAATTGTACATCATTTAAATATAAAAGAGTTCTTTGAACAGGTTCCCCTCTTTTAATTGCCTGAACAATGCCGGCAGTGTTTCGATGATATCAGAAATGGGGAACAACTCTGTTAATTCGATGCTAGCCCAATGCGTAAGTTGGATTATTAAGTAACTCGTTAGTAGAGGGCAGGTATAAAGTATTTTCAGCCACCACAGGGGGTCACTAAATCCATTGTTGACAAATGGATCAGAGACATGAAAAATGAGCTAGCAATTCAAATATCAAAATATAATTTAGGATAAACAATGATTCTAAAAATATTTGAAAGCAATGGAGAATTCCAATATAGTTATAAGGAAAGATGGAATTACATTACTTTTCTTTTAACAGCATCGAAATATTTGATGCAATAGTTCCCAACATGTGAACAGGGAATACATTTGAAAGAGGCAATTTACGATCTGAACTTTTGAATGAAGTAATTGTCAGATAATTAATGGAAAGATGTTTACTGTTTGTCATCTGCATTCACCATCTCCTCTACAACTGTCTACTATCCTGGATATTTTGTCGCCTATAACTTGTCTTCACAATCTGATTGACAACTGTCTAAGAATTGTGTAAGGATATTTTATGCTTTGTCTAGACTGTGATTTTGTTTTGGAATAGCATTTCATCAAATTATGATCCTGGGATGAAGAGATTTTGTTTGAAGAAATGCATACAATTATTTAATGAAGACACTATTTGAAAAATGCATACAATTATTTAATGAAGACACTGATACTTTCTCCTATTCTGGGTAACTATCAAACTTGTCTGTTGCCTTTGGTAGACCTGAAGTTGATATTGTATTGCTTTCTTTTGATTAGTGCATCAAAATGGATTCCTTACTGGACAAGGGCGTACCATTTTACATTGTGACCAAGGATGAGGCAGCCTTTGGCAGAATGCAAAGAACAAATGATCGACTGATCAGAATCATCCATCCACGCAGATGGCAAAATGGACAGTAAAAAGCTCATAATCAAAAACTTTCACATTATGAGAATCCATTGTTTAAAATATGAGCGATTAAAGAGCTGGAAATCATATGATTCTTGAAGTGAACTTGATTGTAGTAAGCTGTTTTATTGTGAGCCCTACCGATGGTAGAATGATGCAGTCATGGATGCTTAACTCACTTAACTGATGCACTTTGTATAACAAGAAAATTTATTAGCTCGGCTATGACATCAGTTAACAAGGAATTAAAGTCTAAGTCAGCATCTAATAGCCACAATGCAGTTTGATATCATAAAGCAAATAAAATAAAATAATTTTACACAGGCTAGCTAACATGCTCACTTAAAATGAATAAGCTTTGTTAAAGTTTAACCACATACTGATTCAATAATAAAAGCACAAACCAAGTCATTTTCTCCATCAAACCGAAACAAGGGACATGTTTATCACATTATAGGCTCTTTTCAAGTTGAGCTGAAGAATAAATGTTCAGGATAGTAGTTTAGTCTAGAGGGAAATGGCTGTTCAATTTACCATACAGGATGATTAGTTAGAGGGAAATGGCTGTTCCACTTACCATACAGGATGTTTAGTCTAGAGGGAAATGGCTGTTCCACTTACCATACAGGATGTTTAGTTAGAGGAAATGGCTGTTCCACTTACCACGCAGGATGTTTAGTCTAGAGGGAAATGGCTGTTCCACTTATCATGCAGGATGTTTAGTCTAGAGGGAAATGGCTGCTCCACTTACCATGCAGGATGTTTAGTTAGAGGGAAATGGCTGTTCTCTTACCACTCAGGATGTTAAGTCTAGAGGGAAATGGCTGTTCCACTTACCATACAGGATGTTTAGTCTAGAGGGAAATGGCTGTTCCACTTACCATGCAGGATGTTTAGTTTAGAGGGAAATGGCTGTTCCACTTACCATGCAGGATGTTTAGTTTAGAGGGAAATGGCTGTTCCACTTACCATGCAGGATGTTTAGTTAGAGGGAAATGACTGTTCCATTTACCATGCAGGATGTTAAGTCTAGAGGGAAAGGCTGTTCCATTTACCATACAGGATGTTTAGTTAGAGGGAAAGGCTGTTCCATTTACCATACAGGATGTTTAGTCTAGAGGGAAAGGCTGTTCCATTTACCATGCAGGATGTTAAGTCTAGAGGGAAAAATCTGATCCAATTGTCAAACATCGATTTTTTAGAAAACTAAAGGAGCAAAAAAAAAATCTAACAAATAAATGGAGATTGTAACCACAGCCTGCCAAATGTCACACTAGTTCGCTAATTTATAAAATGTAGAATTGCCTGAGGCAACCAACTATGGGAGGGTGGGTGAAGGAGGGGAATACATGAGAAAATTAAGTATTTTAAATTGTAGATAATTAATTTTGCTTTTTTTCTAAATTTCTTTCCGTTTCCCTCAATCTGAGGGAAACAAACTAGGGAACAAGGCTTAGAAGGCATTCTTTCAGGTCTCGGAGTCGGCAAAAAGCTTCAAGAAAGAAAGTTACTTTGCATTTTAAAAATTAAACAAAAAATGTAGAAAAAGAAAAAGAAAAAAAGAAAAAAAAAAGAAAAAAAAAAAGAAAAAGAAAAAAAAAAAAGAAAAAGAAAAGAAAAAAAAAAGAAAAAAAAAAAAAAAAAAAATAATAGCAAAAAAAAAAAAAAAAAAAAAAAAATTACGAAAGAGGAAAAAAAAGCAGAAAAAAGAAGAGAAATAAAAAATGTTAAATATTTATATAATAAGATGTATGTGCAAAACTATCAAATTACTTACATAAAAAACCAACCTTTTTTAATCACATCTGTAAAAGTTGACAATAAATTAAAGTGTAAGTAGACATATTTCAATTATTTTTTAATTGTCTAGATATATTTGGGACAGAAATGGGGTTAAAAAAACAACCAATTAGCATGAGTTTTTTGAAAGATTTGCACATCAATGAATTTTTGTTGTTGATTTAATATTGTTGTTGTGAGTGTGAAGTTAGACAACTTGCAAAGCCACATGTTTATACTTGGCCTACCTACATCTTGCAGCTCATTCGTCCAAAGAGAAAAGCAGGCTGAAATCGGACTCAACGGCTTATATGGGGCATAACCAGTTGACAAGTATACTTTTGTTTGAGGGGATCCCTTCCAACGCTAAAATTAAGAACGAAGAAGAAGATTCCGTCACTCAATAATTTCTTTCACATAATGCACTCGCTTAGCAGCTATATTTAATTCTATCCATACAGACACAGTATGTAAACAACTTACATTTGTATTGAGGAATGGAGACTTTCGTGCTAAAACTAAAGCGAAGTACACAATTATTCCAAACTTATTATTTTTCCCCCATTAATACAGCTGCAATAAGTTGACCTGAAAAATTGCTGCTTTAATAAGGTCGCTTCATTAGGAAGTGGGTAGTGGGATGAGCTCCCCCTGGATCCTAAGAGAGGACAGGGACTGTTGGTATTGTTAAAAAACTGTTTGCCAGATAGTGAGAAGCCATTCTTCAAAGTGCTATTTAACGTATCAACGCGACTAAAATCACTAAAAAGAATTCGAATGTTCAGTTTTTAATTAAAATAAAACCGTAGCTTATTGTATGACAAAGTTCAGAATTTAAATTTAAAATATTCGATTCATCACCCTATTTATGTTTAGTTTTATGCGAAATGTCGCGGCTGATGAATAGAATTTAGTTTTTGTACATTCAAACTGTTGAGGCCGTGATCTAGGCTAGGAGGTAATAGACCATGTCTATTTTACAAGCTCTTATTTAACTGTCGTCATAGATCAAAACTTTAATTCTAGTAAAAATATTCAATACATAATATAGCGACCCATGTTTTTTTCTCTAATTATTAAAATAATAGTATTCAATATTTAAAGAAAATCGTTTATTTTCCTCTTCTCAGTGCATAATGACATGAAAGCTTGTTGTTAAAACGTTTTTTATATATTTAAAAAATACGCTCTACAGAATTGATAAAAACTGGTTACTTCCGCGCTGTCAAAATAAGTCATGATAATGATTGCACCTTGCTTTGTTTAGCGTTTATTGGAAACAACTTCAACCAGCCATTGTAATTATTTTCATGTACAAAACACAGCTCAATGTCAGGTTTGACGTGATTAAGGTCATTAATGCATGACTCTGTAGATTCTGGCATTTAGTTTGTTAGCATTGAGCTCGGGTTTATTAATTAAAGCAGCTATGTGAGTCTGTACTGAACTTTTTTATCCAATTTTCTTACTTTCATGTCAGCTTTTCATTTGGGAGTTTTCAAAGACATTTACTGTTTTTATAATTCGATGTTAATAATCTCACTTATTATAAATATACATGTAATAAAATTTGATGTATAAAAATGATTGTTGTGGTATTTTGTATTATATATTTTTCACTGATGTTTTTAAGGGAAAACAAAAATATTTTTGTCATAAAAACATTGACAGTAGACCGTCCCTGAGTTCACCCAACTCTGATGGGTACCTAACTCACTTTAGGGAAAGTAAAGCGGCTGGGTTTAGTGCTGACCACACCATCTCTTTATATGCCGAGGTCACAGAAACAAGTGAACTCTACTTCACTTGCCCCATAAACCGTCAGGTTTGAAAGGGAAACTTTACTTTACTTAAAGGTCCATTTAAAATAGATTTGAAGCATTTAAAAACTGTTGGTAAAGAAAATTGGACCAAAGGAAGCACACCTGATTCTAAAGAAATAGAAAACTTACTTGCAGAATAAAAGAAAATGCTATGGAAAAAAATGTTAAATAATTATATGCTTTTAAATGCACTGAAAATAAGAAAACAAAGAAAACGGCATTCTTTAATAAAAGTGCTGGTCGCTAAAATATGTAAAAAATCTTTGCTTTAAACCCAATCAGTAGCTTGGGCAAGAAAGTAAGGAAACGGTTGACTGTCGCAGGCCAGATGACAAACTAACGCAATTATTACATCTTCCCTTTTATTATTGAATTTAGCAATTTAAAAAAAAAATATTTTCAATGGTTAAAAATAGAAACTCTTGCATTTTCATCGGAGATAATTATGTTTTTTTCGAAAGCTTTACCGCAATCACTGCATTAGAATGTGGTTAAAATGAAGTTACAAGATTTGCTAAAAACCCACAAACAAAGCAGACATTGTGAATTAAATAAAAACTGATAAAAAATAAATGCATCCTGACGAAAAGGAAATAGATCTATGTTCTGCTAGCATTAAAACGGCAGTTTTTCTAGCGAGCCATATTAAAAATACAAGCCAATAAAGTAGTCACAAGCTACCCCGTAATGATGACACCAATGTCCTTAACGATTCTTCTTTACTTGGATACAAAAAAAAACAACACTCTGAGTAGAATGTGCCATAACTTAATCAACTAAACACGAGTAGACAAATATTTTATGAATCATCATGTTGATCTTTGGCATTATTGGACTTGCATAAATGTAAGCTACACTAATAGTTGTCACATATTCTAATGAATCCAAAACTAAGCATCAATTTGAACATTTCGCACCAATGTATACAAACTGAGAGCGGAAGTGAGATTTGCACCAAATTGAGAGCGGATGAAAGCTTCATTGTTTACCTTTTCTCTTTACATCTGATTAAGCAAGAATACCGTGATAATAATTTATTTTCTGTTTGAAATCTGTGCGAGAGAAAGGTAATCCTCAGCATCAGAAATGTAGCTAAAAGGGGATGGGTTAAGGAGGGGATGTGAGTAGGAACAGATGAGCTCCTGTTTTTAATTTTCTTTAAGAAAATCACGCGGTTTCCAAAAAGAGAATAGATCTAGAACAAGGAATTTAAAATTAAAACACGATGGTCAGGGATAAATAGGCAAACATAATGAGCTTGACTAGGGGCGCCCTCTTCGGGACATTTTCTGTAACCCTAATGGCTTATAAAGACATTCCTCAGTACAATAAGGAAAACATCGATACTTGTTGTTAATATAGACATTCATCTGTACCAAGAGGCATAGCAAGGGTGGGGGTGGGGCGGGGGACTGGACATATGTCCCTGGGCGTCGACCTTAGGGGGCGCCAAAATTGGTTGGAAAAACAAATTGAAAGTTTGAGGGGGGGGGGGTGCACATCGAACGTTTGTCCCCGGGCGCAGGGAAGGGTCGCTACGCCTCTGATCTGTACTATAAAGTTAACATCTCTACCTGTAGTTAATAAAGACATTCATCTGTTACAAAGTTAACATATATACCTGTATTTCCCGATCTTACATTCTGTGTTGATAAATTCCTGTTGGTTAATAACTGTGCCCGTTTTCGCTATCTCGGGGAACATGACGAAGCATGTTATTCATTGCTTACCTAGCCACAGAATGACCATTATTCTGTAATGTTCTGTTCTTCTAATTTTCTGTAATGTTCTGTTCTGGGGTTGATCCTTGTTCTGTTCTATTTTTTCGGTAATATTCGACTTTATTTTCTTCTGTTCTGTTCGCAGGTGTTTGTGTATGTTCTTGTGTGTGTTCATGCCTTTGTATGTGTGATGGGGTCCGGGAGATTATTGTGATAGGGGAACTACGAAGATGGTCTTGTAGCTATGGCAACAGTTTGGTGTTTTTCTGGCTACAGCACAGTCATCGTAACTTATCGTTAACTGACAGAAATCTTCACAAGATACACTAGTGAGATAAAGAAACTAACCTTGTAGCAAAAATGGGATTCGTTATTAAATCCATATCATCCTGTATTGTCGAAAGAATTTTAAATTTAACTTTGTTACTTTAATGATTTTGGTGGGGGCGTATAATAAAATGAGTTCCTCCTATCGCACAGCAATTATTTCATCCGTTTGACCACCAGTCCAGTATGGACATCGAGGAGCGTATGGGCTTCTTCTTCACAGGTAATGTTTACATGACCATCACCTGCCTGGACATGCTCTTCTCCGTGGCTGGAATCTTCCTTAACATCATCGTTATCATCACCTTCGTCAAAATCTACGGCGTCAAGAAGTTCCAGGTCAGAACATGGCTAGACTTTTTGTTTAAACCACACATATCGTACATGATGGGAACAATGAAAGTTTATAAAAGATCAACGATGATCAGGGGTGGGCTGGCTGTGTTCAAGGGGCCCAGGAAATTTTAAAAGGGTCCCCTATACAAGATTACAATTTTCACTGTGCATTTTTTTCTCTCTCAATGGCTGATGATCGTCCTCAGTTTGATGGAGATTTACGCGACAATTTAAATAATCAAAGTATTAATTGGTCTAGTATTAAAATCAAAGTATTAATTGGTCTAGTATTAAAATCAAAGTATTAATTGGTCTAGTATTAGAATCAAAATATTAATTGGTCTAGTATTAAAATCAAAATATTAATTGGTCTAGTATTAAAATCAAAGTATTAATTGGTCTAGTATTAAAATCAAAATATTAATTGGCCTAGTATTAAAATCAAAGTATTAATTGGCCTAGTATTAAAATCAAAGTATTAATTGGTCTAGTATTAAAATCAAAGTATTAATTGGCCTACTATTAAAATCAAAGTATTAATTGGCCTACTATTAAAATCAAAGTATTAATTGGCCTAGTATTAAAATCAAAGTATTAATTGGCCTACTATTAAAATCAAAGTATTAATTGGCCTACTATTAAAATCAAAGTATTAATTGGCCTAGTATTAAAATCAAAGTATTAATTGGCCTAGTATTAAAATCAAAGTATTAATTGGCCTAGTATTAAAATCAAAGTATTAATTGGCCTACTATTAAAATCAAAGTATTAATTGGCCTACTATTAAAATCAAAGTATTAATTGGCCTAGTATTAAAATCAAAGTATTAATTGGCCTAGTATTAAAATCAAAGTATTAATTGGCCTAGTATTAAAATCAAAGTATTAATTGGCCTACTATTAAAATCAAAGTATTAATTGGCCTAGTATTAAAATCAAAGTATTAATTGGCCTAGTATTAAAATCAAAGTATTAATTGGCCTAGTATTAAAATCAAAGTATTAATTGGCCTAGTATTAAAATCAAAGTATTAATTGGCCTAGTAAAACACCGGGCCAGTCCAACCCTGATCATGATCAAATATTTGAGGTTTGGCGATATCATGGGGATACAATGTTAAGATAAAGGTAGTCTTACTGGGGGGTGGGGGTAGGTGGTGGGGGGATACAATGTTACGATAAAGGTAGCCTTACTGGGGGAGGGGGATACAATGTTAAGATAAAGGTAGCCTTACTGGGGGATACAATGTTAAGATAAAGGTAGCCTTACTGGGGGATACAATGTTAAGATAAAGGTAGCCTTACTGGGGGATACAATGTTAAGATAAAGGTAGCCTTACTGGTGGGATACAATGTTAAGATAAAGGTAGCCTTACTGGGGGATACAATGTTAAGATAAAGGTAGCCTTACTGGTGGGATACAATGTTAAGATAAAGGTAGCCTTACTGGTGGGATAAAATGTTAAGATAAAGGTAGCCTTACTGGGGGATACACTGTTAAGATAAAGGTAGCCTTACTGGGGGATACAATGTTAAGATAAAGGTAGCCTTACTGGGGGATACAATGTTAAGATAAAGGTAGCCTTACTGGGGGATACAATGTTAAGATAAAGGTAGCCTTACTGGGGGATACAATGTTAAGATAAAGGTAGCCTTACTGGGGGATACAATGTTAAGATAAAGGTAGCCTTACTGGTGGGATACAATGTTAAGATAAAGGTAGCCTTACTGGGGGATACAATGTTAAGATAAAGGTAGCCTTACTGGTGGGATACAATGTTAAGATAAAGGTAGCCTTACTGGTGGGATACAATGTTAAGATAAAGGTAGCTTTACTGGGGGATACACTGTTAAGATAAAGGTAGCCTTACTGGGGGATACAATGTTAAGATAAAGGTAGCCTTACTGGGGGGTACAATGTTAAGATAAAGGTAGCCTTACTGGGGGATACAATGTTAAGATAAAGGTAGCCTTACTGGTGGGATACAATGTTAAGATAAAGGTAGCCTTACTGGGGGATACAATGTTAAGATAAAGGTAGCCTTACAGGGGGATACAATGTTAATATAAAGGTAGCCTTACTGGGGGATACAATGTTAATATAAAGGTAACCTTACTGGGGGATACAATGTTAAGTTAAAGGTAGCCTTACTGGGGGATACAATGTTAAGATAAAGGTAGCCTTACTGGGGGATACAATGTTAAGATAAAGGTAGCCTTACTGGGGGATACAATGTTAAGATAAAGGTAGCCTTACTGGGGGATACAATGTTAAGATAAAGGTAGCCTTACTGGGGGATACAATGTTAAGATAAAGGTAGCCTTACTGGTGGGATACAATGTTAAGATAAAAATAGCCTTACTGGTGGGATACAATGTTAAGATAAAGATAGCCTTACTGGGGGATACAATGTTAAGATAAAGGTAGCCTTACTGGTGGGATACAATGTTAAGATAAAGGTAGCCTTACTGGTGGGATACAATGTTAAGATAAAGGTAGCTTTACTGGGGGATACACTGTTAAGATAAAGGTAGCCTTACTGGGGGATACAATGTTAAGATAAAGGTAGCCTTACTGGGGGGTACAATGTTAAGATAAAGGTAGCCTTACTGGGGGATACAATGTTAAGATAAAGGTAGCCTTACTGGTGGGATACAATGTTAAGATAAAGGTAGCTTTACTGGGGGATACACTGTTAAGATAAAGGTAGCCTTACTGGGGGATTCACTGTTAAGATAAAGGTAGCTTTACTGGGGGATACAATGTTAAGATAAAGGTAGCCTTACAGGGGGATACAATGTTAATATAAAGGTAGCCTTACTGGGGGATACAATGTTAATATAAAGGTAACCTTACTGGGGGATACAATGTTAAGTTAAAGGTAGCCTTACTGGGGGATACAATGTTAAGATAAAGGTAGCCTTACTGGGGGATACAATGTTAAGATAAAGGTAGCCTTACTGGGGGATACAATGTTAAGATAAAGGTAGCCTTACTGGGGGATACAATGTTAAGATAAAGGTAGCCTTACTGGGGGATACAATGTTAAGATAAAGGTAGCCTTACTGGTGGGATACAATGTTAAGATAAAAATAGCCTTACTGGTGGGATACAATGTTAAGATAAAGGTAGCCTTACTGGGGGATACAATGTTAAGATAAAGGTAGCCTTACTGGTGGGATACAATGTTAAGATAAAGGTAGCCTTACTGGTGGGATACAATGTTAAGATAAAGGTAGCTTTACTGGGGGATACACTGTTAAGATAAAGGTAGCCTTACTGGGGGATACAATGTTAAGATAAAGGTAGCCTTACTGGGGGGTACAATGTTAAGATAAAGGTAGCCTTACTGGGGGATACAATGTTAAGATAAAGGTAGCCTTACTGGTGGGATACAATGTTAAGATAAAGGTAGCTTTACTGGGGGATACACTGTTAAGATAAAGGTAGCCTTACTGGGGGATACAATGTTAAGATAAAGGTAGCCTTACTGGGGGATACAATGTTAAGATAAAGGTAGCCTTACTGGGGGATACAATGTTAAGATAAAGGTAGCCTTACTGGTGGGATACAATGTTAAGATAAAGGTAGCCTTACTGGGGGATACACTGTTAAGATAAAGGTAGCCTTACTGGGGGATACAATGTTAAGATAAAGGTAGCCTTACTGGTGGGATACACTGTTAAGATAAAGGTAGCCTTACTGGTGGGATACAATGTTAAGATAAAGGTAGCTTTACTGGGGGATACAATGTTAAGATAAAGGTAGCCTTACTGGTGGGATACAATGTTAAGATAAAGGTAGCCTTACTGGGGGATACACTGTTAAGATAAAGGTAGCCTTACTGGGGGATACAATGTTAAGATAAAGGTAGCCTTACTGGGGGATACAATGTTAAGATAAAGGTAGCCTTACTGGGGGATACAATGTTAAGATAAAGGTAGCCTTACTGGGGGATACAATGTTAAGATAAAGGTAGCCTTACTGGTGGGATACAATGTTAAGATAAAGGTAGCCTTACTGGGGGATACAATGTTAAGATAAAGGTAGCCTTACTGGTGGGATACAATGTTAAGATAAAGGTAGCCTTACTGGTGGGATACAATGTTAAGATAAAGGTAGCTTTACTGGGGGATACACTGTTAAGATAAAGGTAGCCTTACTGGGGGATACAATGTTAAGATAAAGGTAGCCTTACTGGGGGATACAATGTTAAGATAAAGGTAGCCTTACTGGGGGATACAATGTTAAGATAAAGGTAGCCTTACTGGTGGGATACAATGTTAAGATAAAGGTAGCCTTACTGGTGGGATACAATGTTAAGATAAAGGTAGCTTTACTGGGGGATACACTGTTAAGATAAAGGTAGCCTTACTGGGGGATACAATGTTAAGATAAAGGTAGCCTTACTGGGGGATACAATGTTAAGATAAAGGTAGCCTTACTGGGGGATACAATGTTAAGATAAAGGTAGCCTTACTGGTGGGATACAATGTTAAGATAAAGGTAGCCTTACTGGGGGATACACTGTTAAGATAAAGGTAGCCTTACTGGGGGATACACTGTTAAGATAAAGGTAGCTTTACTGGGGGATACAATGTTAAGATAAAGGTAGCCTTACAGGGGGATACAATGTTAATATAAAGGTAGCCTTACTGGGGGATACAATGTTAATATAAAGGTAACCTTACTGGGGGATACAATGTTAAGATAAAGGTAGCCTTACTGGGGGATACAATGTTAAGATAAAGGTAGCCTTACTGGGGGGTACAATGTTAAGATAAAGGTAGCCTTACTGGGGGATACAATGTTAAGATAAAGGTAGCCTTACTGGGGGATACAATGTTAAGATAAAGGTAGCCTTACTGGGGGTACAATGTTAAGATAAAGGTAGCCTTACTGGGGGATACACTGTTAAGATAAAGGTAGCCGTACTGGGGGATACAATGTTAAGATAAAGGTAGCCTTACTGGGGGATACAATGGTAAGATAATGGTAGCCTTACTGGGGGATACAATGTTAAGATAAAGGTAGCCTTACTGGGGGATACAATGTTAAGATAAAGGTAGCCTTACTGGGGGATACAATGTTAAGATAAAGGTAGCCTTACTGGGGGTACAATGTTAAGATAAAGGTAGCCTTACTGGGGGATACACTGTTAAGATAAAGGTAGCCTTACTGGGGGATACAATGTTAAGATAAAGGTAGCCTTACTGGGGATACAATGTTAAGATAAAGGTAGCCTTACTGGGGGTACAATGTTAAGATAAAGGTAGCCTTACTGGGGGATACACTGTTAAGATAAAGGTAGCCTTACTGGGGGATATAATGTTAAGATAAAGGTAGCCTTACTGGGGGATACAATGTTAATATAAAGGTAGCCTTACTGGGGGATACAATGTTAAGATAAAGGTAGCCTTACTGGGGGATACAATGTTAAGATAAAGGTAGCCTTACTGGGGGATACAATGTTAAGATAAAGGTAGCCTTACTGGGGGATACAATGTTAAGATAAAGGTAGCCTTACTGGTGGGATACAATGTTAAGATAAAGATAGCCTTACTGGGGGATACACTGTTAAGATAAAGGTAGCCTTACTGGGGGATACAATGTTAAGATAAAGGTAGCCTTACTGAGGGATACACTGTTAAGATAAAGGTAGCCTTACTGGGGGATACACTGTTAAGATAACGGTAGCTTTACTGGGGGATACAATGTTAAGATAAAGGTAGCCTTTCAGGGGGATACAATGTTAATATAAAGGTAGCCTTACTGGGGGATACAATGTTAATATAAAGGTAACCTTACTGGGGGATACAATGTTAAGATAAAGGTAGCCTTACTGGGGGATACAATGTTAAGATAAAGGTAGCCTTACTGGGGGATACAATGTTAAGATAAAGGTAGCCTTACTGGTGGGATACAATGTTAAGATAAAGGTAGCCTTACTGGTGGGATACAATGTTAAGATAAGGTAGCCTTACTGGGGGATACAATGTTAAGATAAAGGTAGCCTTACTGGTGGGATACAATGTTAAGATAAAGGTAGCCTTACTGGTGGGATACAATGTTAAGATAAAGGTAGCTTTACTGGGGGATACACTGTTAAGATAAAGGTAGCCTTACTGGGGGATACAATGTTAAGATAAAGGTAGCCTTACTGGGGGGTACAATGTTAAGATAAAGGTAGCCTTACTGGGGGATACAATGTTAAGATAAAGGTAGCCTTACTGGTGGGATACAATGTTAAGATAAAGGTAGCCTTACTGGTGGGATACAATGTTAAGATAAAGGTAGCTTTACTGGGGGATACACTGTTAAGATAAAGGTAGCCTTACTGGGGGATACAATGTTAAGATAAAGGTAGCCTTACTGGGGGATACAATGTTAAGATAAAGGTAGCCTTACTGGGGGATACAATGTTAAGATAAAGGTAGCCTTACTGGGGGATACACTGTTAAGATAAAGGTAGCCTTACTGGGGGATACAATGTTAAGATAAAGGTAGCCTTACTGAGGGATACACTGTTAAGATAAAGGTAGCCTTACTGCGGGATACACTGTTAAGATAAAGGTAGCTTTACTGGGGGATACAATGTTAAGATAAAGGTAGCCTTACTGAGGGATACACTGTTAAGATAAAGGTAGCCTTACTGCGGGATACACTGTTAAGATAAAGGTAGCTTTACTGGGGGATACAATGTTAAGATAAAGGTAGCCTTACAGGGGGATACAATGTTAATATAAAGGTAGCCTTACTGGGGGATACAATGTTAATATAAAGGTAACCTTACTGGTGGATACAATGTTAAGATAAAGGTAGCCTTACTGGGGGATACAATGTTAAGATAAAGGTAGCCTTACTGGGGGGTACAATGTTAAGATAAAGGTAGCCTTACTGGGGGATACAATGTTAAGATAAAGGTAGCCTTACTGGGGGATACAATGTTAAGATAAAGGTAGCCTTACTGGGGGATACAATGTTAAGATAAAGGTAGCCTTACTGGGGGATACAATGTTAAGATAAAGGTAGCCTTACTGGGGGATACAATGTTAAGATAAAGGTAGCCTTACTGTGGGTACAATGTTAAGATAAAGGTAGCCTTACTGGGGGATACAATGTTAAGATAAAGGTAGCCTTACTGGGGGATACACTGTTAAGATAAAGGTAGCCTTACTGGGGGATACAATGTTAAGATAAAGGTAGCCTTACTGAGGGATACACTGTTAAGATAAAGGTAGCCTTACTGCGGGATACACTGTTAAGATAAAGGTAGCTTTACTGGGGGATACAATGTTAAGATAAAGGTAGCCTTACTGAGGGATACACTGTTAAGATAAAGGTAGCTTTACTGCGGGATACACTGTTAAGATAAAGGTAGCTTTACTGGGGGATACAATGTTAAGATAAAGGTAGCCTTACAGGGGGATACAATGTTAATATAAAGGTAGCCTTACTGGGGGATACAATGTTAATATAAAGGTAACCTTACTGGTGGATACAATGTTAAGATAAAGGTAGCCTTACTGGGGGATACAATGTTAAGATAAAGGTAGCCTTACTGGGGGGTACAATGTTAAGATAAAGGTAGCCTTACTGGGGGATACAATGTTAAGATAAAGGTAGCCTTACTGGGGGATACAATGTTAAGATAAAGGTAGCCTTACTGGGGGTACAATGTTAAGATAAAGGTAGCCTTACTGGGGGATACACTGTTAAGATAAAGGTAGCCTTACTGGGGGATACAATGTTAAGATAAAGGTAGCCTTACTGGGGGATACAATGTTAAGATAAAGGTAGCCTTACTGGGGGATACAATGTTAAGATAAAGGTAGCCTTACTGGGGGATACAATGTTAAGATAAAGGTAGCCTTACTGGGGGATACAATGTTAAGATAAAGGTAGCCTTACTGTGGGTACAATGTTAAGATAAAGGTAGCCTTACTGGGGGATACACTGTTAAGATAAAGGTAGCCTTACTGGGGGATACAATGTTAAGATAAAGGTAGCCTTACTGGGGGATACACTGTTAAGATAAAGGTAGCCTTACTGGGGGATACACTGTTAAGATAAAGGTAGCTTTACTGGGGGATACAATGTTAAGATAAAGGTAGCCTTACAGGGGGATACAATGTTAATATAAAGGTAGCCTTACTGGGGGATACAATGTTAATATAAAGGTAACCTTACTGGGGGATACAATGTTAAGATAAAGGTAGCCTTACTGGGGGATACAATGTTAAGATAAAGGTAGCCTTACTGGGGGGTACAATGTTAAGATAAAGGTAGCCTTACTGGGGGATACAATGTTAAGATAAAGGTAGCCTTACTGGGGGATACAATGTTAAGATAAAGGTAGCCTTACTGGGGGTACAATGTTAAGATAAAGGTAGCTTACAGGGGGATACACTGTTAAGATAAAGGTAGCCTTACTGGGGGATACAATGTTAAGATAAAGGTAGCCTTACTGGGGGATACAATGTTAAGATAAAGGTAGCCTTACTGGGGGGTACAATGTTAAGATAAAGGTAGCCTTACTGGGGGATACAATGTTAAGATAAAGGTAGCCTTACTGGGGGATACAATGTTAAGATAAAGGTAGCCTTACTGGGGGTACAATGTTAAGATAAAGGTAGCCTTACTGGGGGATACACTGTTAAGATAAAGGTAGCCTTACTGGGGGATACAATGTTAAGATAAAGGTAACTTTACTAAAGCCTTTTCTATTGAGCACGACAATCTCCTGCTGTGTTGTTAGTTTTGTGTTGGCAAAATGTCTGTCTGTGTCCACAGAGTGTCTTGTGGGTCAACATGTCTCTGTCTTTGATTGTCCAGTGTCTGGTCATCTATTTCTCGGCGCTGGGCACGTACGTCCACCAACTCAGCGACAGCGCCACAGATTGTGGGTGAGTTATGGTGTCTGTCGTCTAATTATTCTGTGTGAGTTATGGTGTCTGTCTTCTGATTATTCTGGGTGAGTTATGGTGTCTGTCTTCTAATTATTCTGGGTGAGTTATGGTGTCTGTCTTCTGATTATTCTGGGTGAGTTATGGTGTCTGTCTTCTGATTATTCTGGGTGAGTTATGGTCTGTGTGTCTTCTGATTATTCTGGGTGAGTTATGGTGTCTGTCTTCTAATTATTCTGGGTCAGTTATGGTGTCTGTCTTCTGATTATTCTGGGTGAGTTATGGTCTGTGTGTCTTCTGATTATTCTGGGTGAGTTATGGTGTCTGTCTTCTAATTATTCTGGGTCAGTTATGGTGTCTGTCTTCTGATTATTCTGGGTGAGTTATGGTCTGTGTGTCTTCTGATTATTCTGGGTGAGTTATGGTGTCTGTCTTCTAATTATTCTGGGTCAGTTATGGTGTCTGTCTTCTGATTATTCTGGGTGAGTTATGGTCTGTGTGTCTTCTGATTATTCTGGGTGAGTTATGGTCTGTGTGTCTTCTGATTATTCTGGGTGAGTTATGGTGTCTGTCTTCTAATTATTCTGGGTGAGTTATGGTCGGTGTCTTCTAATTATTCTGGGTGAGTTATGGTGTCTGTCTTCTAATTTTTCTAATGACACAGTTGTCAAAATTTCTCCCATAGAACTATTATTGTCTCCCTTGGATATGTTTCTCTTGATAGCAATAGGCAGCTGTTTTCTTGTTTAACTTGTCTGGTACAAATATTAGGCAGTGAGACAACCATACTGACATACATGAAGCACTTGAAGTCATCTAATTGTTTCTAAACCTGAGACAACCAGACTGGCAAACATGAAGCGCTTGATGTCATCTAATTGTTTCTAAACCTGAGACAACCAGAAGCACTTGAAGTCATCTAATTGTTTCTAAACCTGAGACAACCAGAAGCACTTGAAGTCATCTAATTGTTTCTAAACCTGAGACAACCAGACTGGCATACATGAAGCACTTAAAGTCATCTAATTGTTTCTAATCCCAAGACAGCCAGACTGACAAATAGAAATTTCAGGGTATAACACCAGCAGTAAAATCTCAATGATCAACTTACAGGATGAGACATTTTCTTCCAATCACCATGGACCAGGTGTTTATGGGATGTTATTTGGTTTTGTTGTTGGAGAGAATTTCTGCAGTTCACTTCCAGGCATTTCACAGGTTAGTCTAGCCGTCTAGCCGTCTAGCCGTCTAGCCGTCTAGCCGTCTAGCCGATTGTTAGAAAAAAGTCACAGGAAAAAAACACAGGGAAAAAAAACACAGAAAAAAGTCACAGGAAAAAAGTCACAGGAAACACAGTCACAAATATATATTTGCATGAAATTTGTTAATACTTTAATGTATTCAATATTTAGAGAGTGCAAATTAACTTAGGATTAATTAAATGTAATTTAATGTGTGCAGGTTGTATACGCATAGTGATTTTATAATTCATCTAAAAATATTTAGTATGAAGTATGTAGATTGCAATTATGTTAAACATGAGATTAATAGCATTTAATAGAATGCTCAAAAGTCCTCGGTTTTCATCGTGTTTTTTTTAAATACCAACCTTAACTTACCGTGAAATGGTAAGTTCATCTGACTTGCTGCCCTCAACTCATGGCAACAATAATTATGTTTAGTTCAACCACCTTTACTGCCCACATTAATCATGCTCATTACATAACAAAACTAAGGATCAAAACAGAAAGCCGACAAGGTTCACAGGCTGTCATTGATGCAAAACGTCAACGTCTTTTTTTCTGTGTTTTTTTTTCCCTGTGACTTTTTTCCGTTCACCGTCTAGCCACCTAGATGTGTACAGATAAGTCTATCCACCTAGCTGTGTACAGGTAAGTCTATCCACCTAGCCGTGTACAGGTAAGTCTATCCACCTAGTTGTGTACAGGTAAGTCGATCCACCTAGTTGTGTACAGGTAAGTCTATCCACCTAGCTGTGTACAGGTAAGTCTATCCACCATATCTGTGTACAGATAAGTCTATCCACCTAGCTGTGTACAGGTAAGTCTATCCACCTAGCTGTGTACAGGTAAGTCTATCCACCTAGCTGTGTACAGGTAAGTCTATCCACCTAGCTGTGTACATGTAAGTCTATCCACCTAGCTGTGTACAGATAAGTCTATCCACCTAGCTGTGTACAGGTAAGTCTATCCACCTAGCTGTGTACAGGTAAGTCTATCCACCTAGCTGTGTACAGGTAAGTCTATCCACCTAGCTGTGTACAGATAAGTCTATCCACCTAGCTGTGTACAGGTAAGTCTATCCACCTAGCTGTGTACAGGTAAGTCTATCCACCTAGCTGTGTACATGTAAGTCTATCCACCTAGCTGTGTACAGATAAGTCTATCCACCTAGCTGTGTACAGGTAAGTCTATCCACCTAGCTGTGTACAGGTAAGTCTATCCACCTAGCTGTGTACAGGTAAGTCTATCCACCTAGCTGTGTACAGGTAAGTCTATCCACCTAGCTGTGTACAGGTAAGTCTATCCACCTAGCTGTGTACAGGTAAGTCTATCCACCTAGCTGTGTACAGATACGTCTATCCACCTAGCTGTGTACAGATACGTCTATCCACCTAGCTGTGTACAGGTAAGCCTATCCACCTAGCTGTGTACAGGTAAGTCTATCCACCTAGCTGTGTACAGGTAAGTCTATCCACCTAGCTGTGTACAGGTAAGTCTATCCACCTAGCTGTGTACAGGTATGTCTATCCACCGAGCTGTGTACAGGTAAGTCTATCCACCTAGCTGTGTACAGGTAAGTCTATCCACCTAGCTGTGTACAGGTAAGTCTATCCACCTAGTTGTGTACAGGTAAGTCTATCCACCTAGCTGTGTACAGGTAAGTCTATCCACCTAGCTGTGTACAGGTATGTCTATCCACCTAGCTGTGTACAGGTAAGTCTATCCACCTAGCTGTGTACATGTAAGTCTATCCACCTAGCTGTGTACAGGTAAGTCTATCCACCTAGCTGTGTACAGGTAAGTCTATCCACCTAGCTGTGTACATGTAAGTCTATCCACCTAGCTGTGTACAGGTAAGTCTATCCACCTAGCTGTGTACAGGTAAGTCTATCCACCTAGCTGTGTACAGGTAAGTCTATCCACCTAGCTGTGTACAGGTAAGTCTATCCACCTAGCTGTGTACAGGTAAGTCTATCCACCTAGCTGTGTACAGGTAAGTCCATCCACCATATCTGTGTACAGATAAGTCTATCCACCTAGCTGTGTACAGGTAAGTCTATCCACCTAGCTGTGTACAGGTAAGTCTATCCACCTAGCTGTGTACAGGTAAGTCTATCCACCTAGCTGTGTACAGATAAGTCTATCCACCTAGCTGTGTACAGGTAAGTCTATCCACCTAGCTGTGTACAGGTAAGTCTATCCACCTAGCTGTGTACATGTAAGTCTATCCACCTAGCTGTGTACAGATAAGTCTATCCACCTAGCTGTGTACAGGTAAGTCTATCCACCTAGCTGTGTACAGGTAAGTCTATCCACCTAGCTGTGTACAGGTAAGTCTATCCACCTAGCTGTGTACAGGTAAGTCTATCCACCTAGCTGTGTACAGGTAAGTCTATCCACCTAGCTGTGTACAGATACGTCTATCCACCTAGCTGTGTACAGATACGTCTATCCACCTAGCTGTGTACAGGTAAGTCTATCCACCTAGCTGTGTACAGGTAAGTCTATCCACCTAGCTGTGTACAGGTAAGTCTATCCACCTAGCTGTGTACAGGTAAGTCTATCCACCTAGCTGTGTACAGGTAAGTCTATCCACCTAGCTGTGTACAGGTAAGTCCATCCACCATATCTGTGTACAGATAAGTCTATCCACCTAGCTGTGTACAGGTAAGTCTATCCACCTAGCTGTGTACAGGTAAGTCTATCCACCTAGCTGTGTACAGGTAAGTCTATCCACCTAGCTGTGTACAGATAAGTCTATCCACCTAGCTGTGTACAGGTAAGTCTATCCACCTAGCTGTGTACAGGTAAGTCTATCCACCTAGCTGTGTACATGTAAGTCTATCCACCTAGCTGTGTACAGATAAGTCTATCCACCTAGCTGTGTACAGGTAAGTCTATCCACCTAGCTGTGTACAGGTAAGTCTATCCACCTAGCTGTGTACAGGTAAGTCTATCCACCTAGCTGTGTACAGGTAAGTCTATCCACCTAGCTGTGTACAGGTAAGTCTATCCACCTAGCTGTGTACAGATACGTCTATCCACCTAGCTGTGTACAGATACGTCTATCCACCTAGCTGTGTACAGGTAAGTCTATCCACCTAGCTGTGTACAGGTAAGTCTATCCACCTAGCTGTGTACAGGTAAGTCTATCCACCTAGCTGTGTACAGGTAAGTCTATCCACCTAGCTGTGTACAGGTATGTCTATCCACCGAGCTGTGTACAGGTAAGTCTATCCACCTAGCTGTGTACAGGTAAGTCTATCCACCTAGCTGTGTACAGGTAAGTCTATCCACCTAGTTGTGTACAGGTAAGTCTATCCACCTAGCTGTGTACAGGTAAGTCTATCCACCTAGCTGTGTACAGGTATGTCTATCCACCTAGCTGTGTACAGGTAAGTCTATCCACCTAGCTGTGTACAGGTAAGTCTATCCACCTAGCTGTGTACAGGTAAGTCTATCCACCTAGCTGTGTACAGGTAAGTCTATCCACCTAGCTGTGTACAGGTAAGTATCCACCTAGCTGTGTACATGTAAGTCTATCCACCTAGCTGTGTACAGGTAAGTCTATCCACCTAGCTGTGTACAGGTAAGTCTATCCACCTAGCTGTGTACAGGTAAGTCTATCCACCTAGCTGTGTACAGGTATGTCTATCCACCTAGCTGTGTACAGGTAAGTCTATCCACCTAGCTGTGTACAGATAAGTCTATCCACCTAGCTGTGTACAGGTAAGTCTATCCACCTAGCTGTGTACAGGTAAGTCTATCCACCTAGCTGTGTACATGTAAGTCTATCCACCTAGCTGTGTACAGGTATGTCTATCCACCTAGCTGTGTACAGGTAAGTCTATCCACCTAGCTGTGTACAGGTAAGTCTATCCACCTAGCTGTGTACAGGTAAGTCTATCCACCTAGCTGTGTACATGTAAGTCTATCCACCTACCTGTGTACAGGTAAGTCTATCCACCTAGCTGTGTACATGTAAGTCTATCCACCTAGCTGTGTACAGGTAAGTCTATCCACCTAGTATAAAGTTAAATCTACCCACGCAGAAAGATCAGGTTGGACACCACAAAGACAAAATGGTTTCGACTCGATTAGACTTTTTTCTAATAAAATAAAATGTAGAAACTAAAGTCCAGTAATGTAATACCTTATTATTTGAACGAACATAGTTCATCGACACTTTTTTATTTCTACTTTCAGTTTGATCCCAAGGATCGATACTTTGATGGTTTTGTACGGTTGGTCGTACGGCTTTTATTTTCTATTTTTAAACTACTTCGAAGTCTTGAGTTACAAGTCACGTACGTATCAGTTGATCAATTGTCTTTGGTCTGATTGATGTCACGTACGTAGCAGTTGATCAATTGTGTTGGTCTAATTGATTTTTTCGTTTCTCTCTTCCAGTATTTTGTATCATATCGTCCGACAATATTTTCTGGGCGCCATGTTAGTATGGTGTCAGAGATGTATATTTGAGAAGACAAAGTCTCGTTTTCATTTGCTATTATTTGGTCGGTCTTTTGAAATTTACATCAACTTTAAGAAATCAGAAACAACTCTAATCAGCTTTCTATACTGGGATCCTAATATGATATTCTGCACTTTCCATCTGAATTATATTGGAGCAGTAATATAAGAATATACGCATTAAATACAGTACGGAATTATTTTATCTTTCCAACCGAATATTCTTCAATTCATAGAAACTTAAATGTCATTTGTAACTAATTTTCATAGAGTTGACGGAAGTTTTAAAAAATAATAATTTAAAAGCATGTCTATATCCCAAGGTGACATTCCTGGTAATGTTATATAAGTAGGCTAAATTCGAGAAAGTTTAGGGGAGATCACTCCCGCTTTATTTTGCCAGACCAATAACGACAACCCATCAAAATAAAACACGATTGCCTTGGTTATCTTCCTTTGATAGCTCTGGCTAGACAGAGTCAACTAGTTCTGTTCCACTGTTGTAGTTCCACCAGCAGCCGAATGTGTTCCCCTACAGACAAGTTTTACATTTTATGCTGGACAGATTCAACTCATTCTATCTATTATAACAGCAAACAGAAATTTGAGTTTTCACATTTGGTTAAATACAACAGAAAAAGGAACCTGGATCTGAAAGGATTTTCCCAAATTAAGAGTTGTTTTAGAGAACTCCCCTGGTGACTGTGATGTAGAGTGGAGAGTTTTTGTTTTGTTTGTGTTAAATGGTAAATGGGACCCTAGCATTAAGCGACACTGACAGCTGGTTTGTTGCTACTATAGCAATGGTTAGGGTCAAGGTCAAGCTTGTTGCCACTATACTGACGTCACTTACGTCTAAGTTAATTTTTGGTTCTAGTAAAGTCTGGTAGTTTTTCTGTTGGTCTGAGTGGGGTCAGTTTTTATTGTTATATCCTGGAAAGGTCAGCTGTTGTTATATCCTGGTAAGGTCAGCTGTTGTTATGTAACAAGTGGCCATAATCTCTACTGTAAACAAGTGGCCATAATCTCTACTGTAAACAAGTGGCCATGATGTCTACTTTATCTGTTGTCTGTTGTCTGATTCCAGCCTTCAAATGTGTGACACCGTTTCTGGATCAGCTGCCTCAAGAACCCATCTCCTTCTTCATCTACGTCTCTCTCGTGTTCGCTACAGCTCTCTCCATCATTAGCGAAGTGCTGCGGGTCCCCCAGGGGATGAGTAAAGTGGAGAAGATGAGGCAGGAGATAGAGACCAGGGGGACATCCGTTGTCCTGGCTGTGGGTGAGCTCATGTGCAGGGGAGCCTTGCACTTAATGCGGGCAGATATTCACAATAAGTCTCAACACAGCAGCATTACAAAGTCAGCCTCAACACATAATCTTATTAAAGTCAGCTGAAACCACAACGTCAGCCTCAGTAAATAATCTTTTAAAAGTCATCCTTCACAAATCCCGTAAAAAGCGTGTCGTGTTTTAACGAGTCTCTGAACTATCGACCTTCCTTCTCTCCTCTAGGCGTCGCCTTCATTGTACTGGCAACACCACGACAAAGTTTGGCCATGGTTTTCTGGTCCAATGCCATCGATGTGCTCTCCTACCAGGTAGGTTGATGGTAGGTTGGTGGTAGGTAGTGGTAGGTTGGTGGTAGGTTGGTGGTAGATGCTCTAGATCTAAGTCTCTTATCTAGGTGCACTTCAATAGGTTATAGGTTCGAATTCATAATTTTGTCATATCAAATTGGGTGTTCTTTAAATGTCATGTACTAATACATGTGTTCTCTAAAAGTCATGTACTATTGCAGGTGTTCTTTAAATGTCATGCACTATTGCAGGTGTTTTGTAAATGCCATGTACTATTTCAAATGTTCTGTAAATGTCATTACTATTACAGGTGTCTCTAAATGTCATGTACTATTGGAGATGTTCTCTAAATGTCATGTACTATTGCAGGTGTCTCTAAATGTCATATACTATTGAAGGTGCCTCTATATGCCATATACTATTGCAGATGTTCTCTAAATGCCATGTACTATTGCAGGTGTCTCTAAATGTCATGTACTATTGAAGGTGCCTCTATATGCCATATACTATTGCAGATGTTCTCTAAATGCCATGTACTATTGCAGGTGTCTCTAAATGTCATGTACTATTGCAGGTGTCTCTAAATGTCATGTACTATTGAAGGTGCCTCTATATGCCATATACTATTGCAGATGTTCTCTAAATGCCATGTTCTATTGCAGGTGTACTCTAAATGTCATGTACTATTGAAGGTGCCTCTATATGCCATATACTATTGCAGATGTTCTCTAAATGCCATGTTCTATCGCAGGTGTCTCTAAATGTCATATACTATTGAAGGTGCCTCTATATGCCATATACTATTGCAGATGTTCTCTAAATGCCATGTTCTATCGCAGGTGTCTCTAAATGTCATATACTATTGAAGGTGCCTCTATATGCCATATACTATTGCAGATGTTCTCTAAATGCCATGTTCTATTGCAGGTGTTCTCTAAATGCCATGTATTATTGCAGGTGTTCTCTAAAAGCCATGTACTATTGCAGATGTTCTCTAAATGCCATGTACTATTGCAGATGTTCTCTAAATGCCATGTTCTATTGCAGGTGTCTCTAAATGTCATATACTATTGAAGGTGCCTCTATATGCCATATACTATTGCAGATGTTCTCTAAATGCCATGTTCTATTGCAGGTGTACTCTAAATGTCATGTACTATTGAAGGTGCCTCTATATGCCATATACTATTGCAGATGTTCTCTAAATGCCATGTTCTATTGCAGGTGTACTCTAAATGTCATGTACTATTGAAGGTGCCTCTATATGCCATATACTATTGCAGATGTTCTCTAAATGCCATGTACCATAGCATGTGTTCTCTAAATGCCATGTACTATTGCAGGTGTACTCTAAATGCCATGTTCTATTGCAGATGTTCTCTAAATGCCATGTACTATTGCAGGTGTTCTCTAAATGCCATGTTCTATTGCAGATGTTCTCTAAATGCCATGTACTATTGCAGGTGTACTCTAAAATCACCAGCATGATAGCTCGCCTCTATGTTTTAGTGCCATTTTTCTCCCTGCTCGTACGCCCAGAGTTCAGGAGTGCCATCAAAGCCTTTCTCACCTGCAGCTCGCTGGAGCCGTTAAAAAGGAAGATCAGAGGACAGGTAAACATTTGTATACTGGTGACACCTGTTGTATACCTTCACACTGGTGACACCTGTTGTATACCTTCATACTGGTGACACATGTTGTATACCTTCATACTGGTGACACCTGGTTTACACCTTCATACTGGGGACACCTGTTGTATACCTTCATACTGGTGACACCTGTTGTATAGCTTCATACTGGTGACACCTGTTGTATACCTTCATACTGGTGACACCTGTTGTATAGCTTCATACTGGTGACACCTGTTGTATACCTTCATACTGGTGACACCTGGTGACACCTGGTTTACACCTTCATACTGGTGACACCTGTTGTATACCTTCATACTGGTGACACCTGGTTTATACATTCATACTGGTGACACCTGTTGTATACCTTCATACTGGTAACACCTGTTTTATACTTTCATACTGGTAACACCTGTTGTATACCTTCATACTGGTGACACCTGGTTTACACCTTCATACTGGTGACACCTATGGCATACCTTGATATTGATGGCACCCAGTGTTTCTTCCAGACTTTTTTCTCCGGGGGGGGGGGGGGCACTTGAAATCTTCGGGGGGGGGGGCGGTAAACTTTCTTCGGGGGGGGGCGGACACTGTTGAAAGTATATATTTTCTATATAAATTATATAAATTTCATTTCGTTCGGGGGGGGGGGGGGGCGGTAAAAAATTTTCGGGGGGGCTTTGCCCCCCCGAAGAGATGCCTGGAAGAAACTCTGATGGCACCTATGGTAAAACTCTATTTAAACTAATACCTACATTTCATGTAGTAACTATAGCTTTTGTCTACACTTCTTATGTAAAACTATTACTCCTGCCATCGTCATATATTAAATGACTACTTTTGCCACACTTCACCTGTTAAACCCATGCCACTGCTTACACTCCATGTGTTCAACTATCACCACCACTCCATGTGTTCAACCATCACCACCACTCCACGCCACGCACCATCTCTACCTGACCTTTGAACCTGACCAGGAGAACTACATCATGACGGTTCAGAAGATGGTGGACGTAGAGAGGAAGTTGATCGTGGACAAGATACGGAGTCGCATCGCCAGCACAAAGCCGTCAACCACGGCACTACGAGACAGGACATCGGCCATGCACATGGAGCCTAGGGCCAGAGAGGACTTTTCTTACCTACACGAGGATTCCAGGAGTATTAAGTCGACCTATATTTAGGCACAGTGGTGGATAGGCCGAGTCGTGTTTAGACTCAGTGGTGTTTAGGTTCAGTGGTCTTTAAACTAAGCAATGTTTATGTATTCTGAAATTGATTGACCTGTACGAATTACATATAAAAACTGGTTTATTTATTTTTAACGACACTAATACGATCTGGTATTGTATGATCTATCATCTGTAGATGTTAAAATCCACAAGTCAGGCCGCGGTACCCAAGCAAACACACACACACACACACATACATATACACACACATCAGCTTTATTGATGCTTTAAATTTAGTGATCCCATTTATTTGAAGACAATATTGAGGTTAAAAATGAATTTCAAAACTTCAATGTTTTTTTTTGTTATATTATTTTAAGTATCAGTAATTTTTTTATAATGAGTACTAAAACGGATAAAACAATTTAGCCATTGTCTCGTAGCATTGTTAATAAAAAAATCAAGACGTCTCCTATTACGTACATTAAAGTCTCATATTTTAAAACGATACAGCACGATGTTTGAAAGAAATGACAGTGATCGCTCGTCAAGTGAATTTAATTCCTCCAGTAACGATGCTTGTACGTCAATGTCCTGGTTTATACACAGCAATTGTCTCTACTTAAATTAATTGTAATGTCATTAACTTGCTCCAGCTACACAACAATGACAGGCCAGTTGGTTTTGTTTCATGTTTTTGTTACATGTTTTTGTTACATGTTTTTGTTACATGATGTTTTTGTTACATTTTTTGTTACATGTTTTTGTTACATGTTTTTGTTACATGTTTTTGTTACACGTTTTTGTCACACGTTTTTGTTACATGTTTTTGTTACATGGTTTTGTTACATGTTTTTGTTACATGTTTTTGTTACATGTTTTTGTTACATGTTTTCGTTACATGGTTTGTTACATGTTTTTGTTACATGTTTATGTAACATGTTTGAATGCGAAAAATGTGTATAAAAGTCAAATAAAAAGAGAATGTATAGAAATCAACTGGTGGTGTAGAGAGAATGTGTAGCTTGAAGTGATTCAACTGAATTTAACCCACCGTCTCATTTCTAGGCGGACCAGGGTTGGTGCTGGTCACGTGATCTGTGAGTTGGCGTCTGTAGATTAGATTAGAGAAGACTGACCAATACTGACCTAGAGAGGTTAAACGACATTCAGACGTCTGAAGACTAATGGGATTTCCACGAGTTTTTGACCTGACAACACGTGCACTGACCACGGCCGTCTGGCAGTCGGAACTCGATTTAAACTTTGGGGAGTATACAGTTATATATATATATATATATATATATATATATATATATATATATATATATATATATATATATATATATGTATATATGTATATATGTATATATGTATATATATATGTATATATGTATATATATGTATATATGTATATATATGTATATATGTATATATATGTATATATGTATATATATGTATATATATATATATATGTATATATGTATATATATGTATATATATATATATGTATATATATATATATGTATATATATATATGTATATATATATATATGTATATATATATATATATATATATAAACATACGTGTGTGCGTACACACACATACACGTGAGGTTGTGTGTGCATGGGTTTCCAGTACTTGAGGCATCAATCTCGACACATTTAAGAATTTAAGTTTTTTATTAAGCATAAATCGAAAGATCGTATGATTGTGCACAATGGCTAAGAATGTAATGGACGATTATCGAGAAATAATCGCGTGAACAAAGCGCCAATCATTTCTCGCACAACACTAATTACCTCGGCCATTTCCGTCATTTCCGCCAGTTTGTTATCTGTTATTAATGCTTTTGTAGGAATAATAGGACACTAATTACTTGTTTTTTTTTCATTAAGCTAGAAATGCATAGCCTACTTAAGTTTAATACATTCACCAGTAAATGTGCATACACGTGAAGATTATAAAAGAAAATAGAATCTTTAAAGAATGTCTTTTAATGTAAAAGACAGTTTAGGTAATTAATAGTGAGAATGTGTGTCTGGTGAGCATGTAGTATATTGACTGGGTAGGATCGTCACACGGTCAATTATCAAGAGGCAAGTGGGATATTACGATACCAACTTGCTTTTAATACATAGATTAGTAGCCTGATGTTACCAGACATTTCAATGTACAGTCTGACTGAAGTCGGACGTTACCAGACATATCAATGTCTGTCATAAGGTAAACATTTATGCTTACACTATACTTGTATTATACAGTCACCAACATGCTCTTAGATCACCATGTTAAAAGCCTAAGACAATAGCCGAGCAGCCAATCCAATCAATGCACCAAACCAACTTAAAACATGGCGACTTATCACGTTACCGATGTGGCATGAGGATACTATCACAAAATTAATATAATATTAACAGCCTAGGCCTACCGCTACTTAATTTGATTATTTTATTTGTACAGTATTTATAACTATTGCATTTTAGGTACCCCTGTATTTTAAAATCTTGAAGCGATGTCTAGAAACAAACAGCCGCCATGTTTTTTGTCATCAATGGGAATCATGTTTGAAACGATTAATTTAGTTCGAAAATGTATATCTCTCTGGCTAACGAGATTTCACATTTTAGCGAGAGAGACCGAGACTTACAAGCCTTAATATGAAGGTAGTCTACTAGTCTGACAGATCAAGGGATCAGTTTTACATAGACATACGGACACCGTCTAACGTGTCTATATGCAACTATGTCGGTCTACATGTATGTGGATATGTATGTGAATCTCTGTATTTACACACGCTGATAACATTTTATAGTTGAAGTGGACCCTTCCACCGCCTGAGACAGATCACAAAGACTGGCAACAATATATTTAAAAACTTAGTCAGTGCAAACATCTGAAAGTTCAAAGTTCCAATGTTGAAGAAATAGAAGGAAGAAATGCTCACATAACCTGCCTGATTTCATGCTGTAAATGTAAGGAACACATTTAAATAAACATAAAATAAATGTTCAGCCAAGCTAAAAACAGATGTAATGATAACGTGGTCTAAAATAACATTCAAGCAGAATATAGCCAAGAAAAATGTAACGATCTAAAAATAGCCAGAAATCTTTTTATTCAAAATCGAGTCTTTTAAAATAAATGCCTTAGACAAGTTGAGCCATCTTAATCTCGGAAAAAAAATAATGAGCTATAGATCTCTGTGTTATTTTTGTGGCGGCCATTTTTTAACTGGCTTTTGTTGCTTTGGCTGATGAGTTACAATGTCGAAATGACCGTGAGTGACAAAATAATAAGGCTGAAAGATCTGGCCAGTTGTTTGAACTCATCGAGTTTAATCTCACATTATTTAGCTCTTCCATTACTTTTAAGCTGAAAGAAAAAAATCGAATCATTGGATTGCTAAAACTGCCCTCCACAGACCGATTACAGAAAATACTTTGTTAGGTTTTTTTATATGTTTAGTACCAGATAATTCATGCTATAATGCTAATACAGGACCGATAACTCAAGTAGGATAATACAGGACCGATAACTCAAGTAAGATAACACAGGACCCATAACAAGTAGGTTGACACAGGACCGATAACTCAAGTAGGATTAAACAGGACCGATAACTCCAGCTGACTAAAACAAAACTCAGTCTAGGCGGGCCTGTCCGTCAGTTAAGCGGTTTTATTAAGTACACGCATGGCGTGACATGTTAGTGTTATTATCAAGGTAAAGGTCACACGATATCTGGGAAATACCTCACACAATCCATGTAACAAAACTTACAAGACTTTAGATATGGCGCTTCATAGAAGAAGTAGAGTTTATCAGTTTCTTTATCCTCGGTCTGTAATGGTCAACACTCTACCTAGTCGCATTTGGAGCTACATCACGATTTCAAATTTTATATATATATATATATATATATATATATATATATATATATATATATATATATATATATATATATATATATATATATCCTGTGTGTGTGTGTAAGGTGAGTTACATACCTGCAGTCAAGAAAAGAGGCTGTAACTTTGATATATAAACTGTTTAAACTATTTCTTCTTCGATACTGTAGCACCAAACTCAGACCAGCTATGGGGGTGTGAGGGTGAGGATAATCGTCCTTCACGAGCTACTGATGAAGGAAAATATTTTCAATCGCAGCATTGGTAGTGTCGAATTCGTACATTATGAATTACTGAAAGTAGAAATAAAACAACTAAATAGCGGCGTATGACACGCCGCGCGTCGGCTCGTAAAAATAATTTGTGGTAAATTTTATTATCGACTTTCATTGATGTTGGACTTGTTCCTAATTGTTCCTATAAAGGTTTTTAAATTCGTTTTATTTTCTACATTTTTGTGCTTCCTAATTTATGAAGTCGACGCTACCAAAAATATTTCCTTTATAACGCCACTGATAGATCGCGATATCAGAAATTCGATTATCTGCCCCGTGAAAAGCAGCCGTCCGTGACCACAATTTAGACGCAACAGCAAGCTGATGACGCGAAGGATACTTATTGATCTAGTTACCTCCCCTTAGTTTCCAATCGTTTACAAACTTTATTATCTCCCTTTAAGAACCTTCACTAGATCGACCAGCTCTACGATTGTACATCATTCAGCTCACCAGACCGTTAGGCTGATTGCGTCTAGCTATTTCTCTCCCCTTTCAAAATTGAATTTAGCAATCTATGGAGTGATTTAACTTTGTTATCTCTCATTAGTTTTGAAATCGTAAAATTAATTTTTAATGACTAACTAAACATCTAAGTAATTAAAAAATAGATAGACTTGTATTGTCATCGAAGTGGAACATATCTGGAAAGTCTGAACGAAAACGCTGTACTAGAAGTGGGGCAAAATTGAGTTACAAGATTTGCCACAATCCCACGAGCAAACAAACAAACAAACGTAGCGAAATAAATAAAAGTAACAGATATTTTATCTTTAGGAATGTTGTTTGAGATACATTCTCCATGAGATGTTATCATGAATTTTCTACAACGATATTTCTCCGCGATACACATTTTCCATATATATATATTTGACCTCTCACCGGTAATTGTAAGAATGTAATAGAAAACCCCGGGTGTATTTCCCCCGCCTATAAAATATGATTTACACCCGGGCTTAAGTCTGCTGCCATAGTTGTGTTGTATGTTAGCAACTGTTCTTAAATGGCTTAGTTCGAGGGGACAGGATCACATAGGTGGAGCCAGTCACGCGGGATTACACAGCTCTTGTTTACAGGCTTCCCTCACCCACAACAGTCACGTGATTTAGTACTCACGTCCTCTATTTATGCTGCTGGGTTGGGCGTGGTTTGATCGATTGGGCTTTTGATGGGGAGTGGGCTTTTGTCTGGTGTTTGGTGGGCTTTTGTCTGGTGTTTGGTGGGGCGTGGGCTTTTGTCTGGTGTTTGGTGGGCTTTTGTCTGGTGTTTGGTGGGGCGTGGGCTTTTGTCTGGTGTTTGGTGGGCTTATGTCTGGT